CTGGATCATAGAAACAGGAAGGATGATTAGGTGAGGTAGGCTGGCTATCCCTCTCTAGTACTCCCTTTGGGAGCACTGCTCCTGTCTCAGAATCCAGGGCACAGCCCTCTAGCTGTGCTGTTCAGAGTGTCTGCCCCCTTGCAGTCAGAGTAAAACAAACAAAAAAAGTCAATATGCTTCTGAAGCCTGCAAAAAAAACAGTCCTACAGCTTCAGGAAGCCAAAGGGAAAAGTACCATCTCCAGGCTTACAAGTGCATTGGGTTGAGGCAGATTGTGCCCAGAGGTGCCTTCCTGATTGGGGTGGTGTGGGGATCTGCCTTACCACACGGTGAAACAAGGAGTCACGGAAATTATTTTGTTTGACTACAATATCCATAATACCATTACTTTCCAGTAAAAATGTCAGAATGCGGAGCTCAAAACATCTCAGAAGACATGCAGCAGAGCTGCGGAACAATGTACCATGGGAAACCTGACCAGAATGCTGAGCACTCGTGAGACACAGCTGTGCTGCATGGCCACATAGATATAATGCAACATTAACTTGGTCACAAGATAACAATGTGGTGTGATGAGCTGATTGCGCGATGGTTGTTGCAGATCACAACACAGAAAAACAAAATGTGTGCCAAGTTAAAGGTGTAGACACGCCCAGAGTCTGAATGCTCTGTTCTGGCAACCCCATGGATGTGAAATCGTATTCTAGTTTGCAAAACAAGAATACCTTTAGAAAACCTACAGGCTGCTGATGCTAGTATTTTTTTGTATTTGTATGTGGGCAAGTTTTCCATTGTAGACAGTTACTTATGCAGTCATTTTGTATAAACAAATGTGGATTGCCTCAGCTTGTGTTCTCTTCTGGTTCCCAATCAGGGTATTTGCCATCTATTTTATTTGCTTCTTGGGATGGGTTGTGTTTATGGCTCTTAGACTGTATATCATAGTGACCTGTGTGCGTGACAGTAACAGAAACATGTTATTCTGATATTGTGGGTGATCATTGGCACACTATATTCTGTCATTTTCTTAACGACTGGTCTGTGGCCAGTCTGTGCAGCCTCCTTGCCAGTGCCTGAGATTTCTCTGACACAGAATATTAATTCTTAAAATGTAAAGGTTTTTTGTACTGCATTTTACATGACTATATTCATTCAATTATTTCTGAACACTGAAAAATAAACTGACTGGGCTGACATCGGTTGCCATGATGCTGATATGCAAAGCACATTAGTTCACATTTGTTGAAAGAAAGTAGTTAACAGAAAGCAGCAAGCAAAATTTAAGTTCTAGAAAAGCTTTTACTTAGCTAAATCAGACAATGTCATTGTCAAAGCAGTTACCTCTGAATCTATTTTTCAGAACTAACAAAAGTTCAGAAAAACAGAATAGAGATGTGAGTGTCTCTGAACATAATAAGGAAGAAGGATTAGAAAAGAAAAGGAAACGTTCGGCCTTCAATCAAAAATGCAATTAGTCATACATTAAGTATGGGTTTGTTGCAAATAGGGCTGTCGTTTAATCGCAGTTAACTCATGCGATAAACTCAAAAATTAATTGTAATTAATCGCAGTTTTAATTGCACTGTTAAACAATAGAATACCAATTGAAATGTATTAAATATTTTGGATGTTTTTCTACATTTTCATATATATTGTATTCTGTGTTGTAATTGAAATCAAAGTGTATATTATTTTTGATTACAAATATTTGCACTGTAAAAATGATAAACAAAAGAAATAGTATTTTCAAGTCACCTCGTACATGTACTGTAGTGCAATCTCTTTGTCATGAAAGTGCAATTGACAAATGTAGATTTTTTTTTGGTTACTTAACTGCGCTCAAAAACAAAACAATGTAAAACTTCAGAGCCTACAAGTCCACTCAGTCCTACTTCTTGTTCAGCCAGTTGTTAAGACAAACAAATTTGTTTACATTTACAGGGGATAATGCTGCCCTTTTCTTATTTACAGTGTCATCAGAGAGTGAGAACAGGCATTTGCATGGCACTTTTGTAGCTGGCATTGGAACCCTAACCCTTCCAGAGCACTGCAAATTTATAAGAATCCTTCTCACTGTGCCTGTATCCTCCTGAACTGCAGAATGCTTATTCTACAGCTTCAGAAGACTTAAAAATTATCTCCAGTTATCAATGGTCATCGATGAAGTGAGCTGTAGCTCACGAAAGCTTATGCTCAAATAAATTTATTAGTCTCTAAGGTGCCACAAGTACTCTTTCTTTTTACAAAATTATTGGTAACCTGATTTTTATACATTATTTCAAATGAAGGATAAGATTTTTCATATCATATAACTAGTTGAACTGGACTTTATTTTAACAAATAAATGGAATTGGAGTAGTGGCCCTGTGTTGGTAAGCAAGTAAGAAATGTCTTACACGCAGATAGTACAAAAAGGAAACTCCTGGCAATACTAAGAAAACAGCAAGAAATACCAGTGAAACACTTTTGTTTTTTGTTTTGGTTCCCCCCCCTGCCTCCCTCTCCCCCCCACCCCCCCGCTCTCTCAAGCAGTCCATAACAGTTTAGGAAGGCAGCAAACCCTGGAATCAGAAAGGTTAAGAAACACTACTCTATGTGATGGATTATCCCACCACTCTGTGGTTTTCTTTGTCTGACTGCTCACAACCACCAACACTATAGATGTCTGTCCTATAACAATGGTTTTCAACCTTTTTTCATTTGCAGACCACCAAAAAATTTCAGAGGGAGGTGTGGCCACCTTTGGAAATTCTGCCTGTGGTCCATGAACCCCTACCATAGAAGTCTTAGACTGAAAACTGACTGAACAGAATTAAACTATAAATGTTGCATATGCTTGGCATGGTATTTGATGCAGTGTGAGAGAGAGTGCTAAACTGTGGGCTTCTATGGTAACAACATTTCTGGCTTTTGACCTGTAGGTGGGAGTATTCACATACTTTGGATTAGTCAGAAAAATGGAATGCCTTTTCTAGGATCTGAAACTCTGTTTTCATAGGTTTCAGAGTCACAGCCGTGTTAGTCTGTATTCGCAAAAAGAAAAGGAGTACTTGTGGCACCTTAGAGACTAACCAATTTATTTGAGCATGAGCTTTTGTGAGCTACAGCTCACTTCATCGGATGCATACCGTGGAAACTGCAGCAGACTTTATATACACACAGAGGTCATAAAACAATACCTCCTCCCACCCCACTGTCCTGCTGGTAATAGCTTATCTAAAGTGATCATCAAGTTGGGCCATTTCCAGCACAAATCCAGGTTTTCTCACCCTCCACCCCCCCACACACAAACTCACTCTCCTGCTGGTAATAGCCCATCCAAAGTGACAACTCTCTACACAATGTGCATGATAATCAAGGTGAGCCATTTCCTGCACAAATCCAGGTTCTCTCACCCCCTCACCCCCCTCCAAAAAACACACACGCAAACTCACTATCCTGCTGGTAATAGCTCATCCAAAGTGACCACTCTCCCTACCACATTGTAGGGAGAGTGGTCAGTTTGGATGAGCTATTACCAGCAGGAGAGTTAGTTTGTGTGTGGGGCGATGGAGGGTGAGAAAACCTGGATTTGTGCTGGAAATGGCCCAACTTGATGATCACTTTAGATAAGCTATTACCAGCAGGACAGTGGGGTGGGAGGAGGTATTGTTTTATGATCTCTGTGTGTATATAAAGTCTGCTGCAGTTTCCACGGTATGCATCCGATGAAGTGAGCTGTAGCTCACGAAAGCTCATGCTCAAATAAATTGGTTAGTCTCTAAGGTGCCACAAGTACTCCTTTTCTTTCTGTTTTCATAGTCATCTTTCGCTGACCCCTTCAACATAGTCTGTGAACCCCCAGGGGTCCAAGGACCACAGGTTGAAAGCCATTGTCCTATAACATAGCATTTGTCATACATTTTGTTTGATGAGCTCCTTTCTCATTGCTGACATTCAATCAATACTATCTTCCTTAGTGTTCTCCTTGTTACATTCTCCATCCATTCTTGTATTTGCCCCTTCTTCCATGCTGCTCCTTAAGTTTAGAGCACCCTTCCTCTTCTTGTGTGGCAGCCAAGTGCCCTGTTCTCATTCAGATGCTCTCTTAAAACATATACTTCTTTTGTATGGCTTTTCAATATTAACTTGCCGATTGCCATTTAAAAATGTCTATTAAATATTTCAAAACACCCATCCCTGCCTGCATCTTGGGACTAGGACCTACATACTACATTTACTGTATATTAGACTATATGTTTATATGATATTGTACACCGTGCTCCATGCACTCTACTGGTCATCGTTCACTTCAGGTACAATTCAAAGTGTTAATGACAATCTTTAAAATTTGTCATGGTCTGGGTCAAAGTAATGTAAAGTGTAGTTCTACTCTGAAAAGGGGCTGTAAAGATAGCACCGTGGGGTTTCATGTTTATTGTCTTTCAATGACCTTTGTATCAAATGTAACATAAGTTACACTACATTTTTAATTGCCAGCCCTGAAAACTCAGTCTAGGCTGTGACAGCCATGTCCGGGCTCTTTTCTATTTTGTGCATCATCACTAGAAGTAAAAGTTCTGCAGGCTAGTCAAATCATTTGTTGCACCTCTGCAGCCTCCCCCACCTTGTCTCCTTCATTATGTATTGTCCTAGCTATTGAAGCTCAGAGGGGAATCTACCAGGTGCCACAGCTGGTGGCAGCAGGATAGTCTCACTTGGCAGCCTGAGCCTGTCCCTCCACAAGCAGCTTCAGGCTAGGGATTCCAGCTCTTCTCCCCTGCTCCCACAGACTCAGCGGGAAAAGGCGAGTGGGAGTGATTTTAGCAACGGGGGCCCCCTTAACAAATAAAGTAGTAAAGTGCCCGGCTGGGATTTGTCCTGCTCGATTGATTGCCGGGATAGCCAGTGAGTTGGCTTAGGACTGAAGAGAGCGGGGCAACCAATGGGCTCTTGAGGGATGGGATGCAGCTTTAGGGAAGTGAAGTTGTGGGTGGGCCTTCGTGAGCCAATGGGTTCCCCAGGGCATGTCCAGGCGGATAGATTAGGGACGGGCGCGGCAGAGGCGGGTCGCTTCGCTCACAGTGCGCAGTTTGGTTATGATAGAGGGGAGCAGCTGGTTTAGTGGGTCTCAGTGGTGAGACAGCGGGCGGGGAATGGCTCCGCTGCGGGGTCCTAAGGCGGGGATGGAGGAGCCGGAGCCGGCGGGCTCCTCCCCGCGGCGCTTCACCTGGGAGGAGATCGGGCTCCGCGCGGGCCGGGGGCACCCGCAGCAGGAGCGGTGGCTGGTGATCGACAGGAAGGTCTATGACATCAGCCAGTTCTACCGGCGGCACCCGGGGGGCGCCCGAGTCATCAGCAGCTACGCGGGGCAGGACGCCACGGTGAGCGGCAGAGGCGTCCGGTTTATTAGCGAGCGCAGGGCGGGGAACTGAACTGGGGCGCAGGGGGTGGGTTAGTTGGGTTATCAATTATTGTGTGGGGCAGGATGCCATGCTGGTGGCAGCAGAGGGGAGGGCCCAAGTAATTGGCCTCTGTAGGGTTAAAAGAAAAGGAGGACTTGTGGCACCTTAGAGACTAACCAATTTATTTGAGCATGAGCTTTCCTGAGCTACAGCTCGCTTCATGGGATGCATACTGTGGAAAGTGTAGAAGATCTTTTTATACACACAAAGCATGAAAAAATACCTGCCCCCACCCCACTCTCCTGCTGGTAATAGCTTCTCTAAAGTGATCACTCTCCTTACAATGTGTATGATAATCAAGTTGGGCCATTTCCAGCACAAATCCAGGTTATCATACACATTGTAAGGAGAGTGATCACTTTAGAGAAGCTATTACCAGCAGGAGAGTGGGGTGGGGGCAGGTATTTTTTCATGCTTTGTGTGTATAAAAAGATCTTCTACACTTTCCACAGTATGCATCCCATGAAGCGAGCTGTAGCTCAGGAAAGCTTATGCTCAAATAAATTGGTTAGTCTCTAAGGTGCCACAAGTCCTCTTTTTCTTTTTGCGAATACAGACTAACACGGCTGTTACTCTGAAACCTGTAGGGTTAAGACAGCTGCACTGGAGAGCTATAGACAATGATTGATTTATCAAGGCAACAGAAGGGGCAAGGTCTCAGAACTGCAGGCTGAGGAGAAAGGTACTTGTCATATGAGAGAGATTTGTGCCTGCGATCACCCTAAACTGCACAGTGTTTATCTGATCCTTTATATCACTGATATCACTAGGCTGGTGACTTCAGGTGACTTCTAGCCAACGGAACTTCCCTATTCAATCTGTGTTGGAGTGTGGTGCCCATAGACAGATGTGTCACTTGAGGTGGTTTATGCTGGGAGTTGAGAGGCAGAGGAAACTGCCTCCCCTAATGCCCATAGATAGAAACAAATGTTCTTTTTGCTCAGATCCCTCCCTCCTCTGTGACAGAGGGATTCTTGTGGGAGAAATAATAACTGGCTGGTAAAACACTCTGCCGTTTTGAGGAACTAGGAGTCACAGGTTCCTAAGAGATGAGTTTCCTGTTTCTGTGGGTGGAAAAGAATCTGTTAACTCTTGGCACATTATGTAGATGTGAAAGGATATCCCTGAGCAGACAAACAAAGCCAAAACCCAATATTCCATAGGCCATGCTTCCTGCTCTCAGTCCCTAGCGCCCAACTGTAGATGTCCCTTTATATGCCTCTTTAAAATCAGTCTCAGACATTCAATTATCTGACATCCTATTATCAGTGTATGCTGGCAGACCATAAACATACCCTTGTAACCCCCTGTTTCAGGGGCCTCCAGTCTTATGCCACCCTCTGTGACTTGGGCAGCTGGCTATGGCCCAACCTGAAACAATCAGAGAGAGACAGTTTTTACTAGCAAAAGGTATTTTTCTAAATTGTTTCTGATTCATCCACCTTCTTCACCTAGGAGTTTTTATGACGGTTGGTCTGTGACTGAAAATACAGCTGCATCTTACAACATACAGTCCCAATGAAATCATTGGGTTACATTATGGCTGTATTGCATTTAAATTCTTCTTTGTATTACTACTCAGTTTTCTTCACATAAAAGTTAATTTCTTGTTCCCCTTTGGAGTGGCTATCACTTCTTTTATTCGCTTTCTCCTTTTGGCTTTTTAATAGCAAGAACTCCTCTCTCACCCTTTCCTTAAATGGCTAATAATTCATTTTTGTTGCTAAGTGATACAGTATCAGATGCTGGGGGACTTGAGAAAGAAAAGGTGGTGTTTAGAAAGGGGCTAAAGATGTCTGCAATTTCATCAGTTCTCCTGCCTCTTAACTGTGTTTTGGGAAACAAAATTAACAGGTAAAAATGGTGTTCTTCCTGCTTCCCTTTCCAATCTTCCTAAAAATATATATATATAAAAAAAATAACTGCACTTGCACATTCAGCTCCCGCATATAAGTCACATCTGGTGTTTGGGATATGTTAGCCAATCCATAGGGCTGGGATATCATTTTTTGGTAGTAAATTTCAAAATGTAAACCTCCACTTTTGAAGCATTTTAGAACACTGTTTGTACCTTCCTACCCTGAAAGCTGATCCATACACCTTGATCTTATCAGCTGTGCACTACTCCTAGCTGGTTTCACACCAAAAAGCTGACTGGTTGGGTGGGAATAGCACATAGGTGCTGGAACTGGGGGTGTGGCAGCACCCCCTGGCTTGAAGTGGTTTCCATTATATACAGGGTTTACAGTTTGGTTAAATGGCTCTCAGCACCCCACTATTAAAAACTGCTCCAGCATCCCTGGAGTTGCATTGAGGGCAGCATGAGAAATATAAGAAGGAAGAGGGGCACTATTGATTTAAAGAAATATTCCTTAGAAAAGGTGATGAAATACAAGTCAAGACATACTGGTAAATATCAGCCTTACTTCAGAACTGGATGTCACCTCCTTATCACCAATCCTGTGTGTGTTGGTCTGATTTTTGCCTGTGGGAATAGAAGCAGGAAATAAAAGGGACTGGGGTTCACTGTAGAAGGATGAGGGGATGGAAGGAATCATGTGTGTTTCCTTCCCTTGTCCATCTCATACAAGGTATTGAAGCTCTCACCATGGAGGGAAGTGTGCAGGGAGCTCCCTGCCTACTTTCAGATAGGGGAAGTGGAATCAAGAGGAAAGAGGTAACCACCAGTCAGCTAATCAGCTTGTGAGGAAGTTGGGTGGCTCTGATATGCTGACTACCTTATTCTCAGAGGGTGGGTTTTCTCCAAGGGATGTAGTGGAGCTAGGAATTCATGAGGAAGCTGTTTTTTCTCCTCATGATCAGATTGTGTGCTTACGTGTGGGTTTTTGTTTTGTTTGTTTTTTTACAAAAGGAGACTGATCTGAATGTACTTCCTTAATAGCACAATTACTTTCTCTACAGTAACCCCAGGATTGCTGGCCAGAGGTAATAAGGAAATCTAAAATAAAATTCTTTCACAAAAAAAGTGCATGGTCCTTTTAAGAATGTGGCTCATGATTCTTCTTTGTTAGTACTATCCTTTCCAAAAGGTGCATTAGAGACTTTGCCTCCATTAGATGTTACTGCCACTCTACAGACATCAGGTGAATGAAAGGAGATATCCCAGGGGCTAGGGCAGTAGACTGGACTTGAGAACAGTAGTTCAGGTACCTGCTGTCTCAGCCTCCCTGTGAGATATGGGGCAAGTCACTTAATCTCTCTGTGCTGAAGTTTCCCATCTGTTAAATGGAGATAATAGCACTTCCTTAACTTCCTGGGGTGTTGTACAGATCCATATAATAAAAGATTGAGACACTCTGATACTATGGTCATGGCTATAGAAGCACCTTGAAAGATACAATGACTAGTCTAAATGATAATGTCGTCATTCCTGCTTTGTCTATGTATCCAGGCCGTCCAACAGGAACACGCAAATGGAGAAACTAGTAGCCTTAGGCGTATCCAACCTACTCAGTTACATAAGGTGTCTTGCTACCTCATGCCATAATGCCAAACAGCTGTCAGCTCCAGTAACAGAACTGCTGATGTTCTGCATGCCCTTTCTGCTCTATGGCCCCATCTTAGCTTCTCTCTTCCTTCCCTGATCAGCCCATTACCAAAAGCTAGCCGTCACCTGCTTTCACTTTCCATCCCTGCTTTATTGTTGTGCTCCTTGTACCCAGATAAGGTGTGGGTAGCTTTAAAGTGTATCATACTATAGCTATATGTAACATGTCTGTCGCCATAGTACTTATACACCAAAACAATTATTAAGAAATACACAGTTTGCCTATATATCGTGCTTTATATACATAGGGTTAGATTGTTACCTGCACTGCGTACTTCTAAAAGGGAGTAACAAATTCCCTACATCCATGAGTAAGCTACCTTGACATTTGGTTCATTTATAAAGGAGTAAGTGGGGTTACTCACCTGCTTACTACCACCCCAAGCAAGTGAATGGGCCAGAGTAGCTGAGCCAGCATGAGGAGGAAGTAGTTTACTGTTGGTATAGGTCTCCTGAGCATGGAGGAAAGAATTGTGGTTCAGAAGTGTGGCTCAGAGTCACAAGGCATCCCAACATACAGTTGAAGTGGTGCAGCTTGGTCAGGACTGTGCCTAAAGTAAAAATCTAGCCCTGAGATAAGTATACTCTAGGTTAACACATTACCTTTCATCTGAAGATCTCACAGCATTTTACAAGTGTGGGTAAGGATTATTATCCATATTTTTAGGCAAAGAAGCTGAGTACAGACTACTTAAGTGACATGTGCAAGAACACATAGCAAGACTGTGACAAACACGGGTACTAGAGCCTGGGTTCTCCTAACTCCCAGTCCTGTATTGTACTGACTAAACGTGTTGGCTGACAAAATTAAGACAAGTCGCAGGCCTACAATAGTGTTGCCAATTCCAGTGATTTTATCATGAGTCTTGTGATATTTGGCACCAACAGCTCTGAGGGAAATAAGTAGAAATGGGATAAGAGGGAAGGTCCTCTCATGGATCAGTAACTCATTGAAAGATAGGAAACGAAGGATAGGAATAAATGGTCAGTTTTCACAATGGAGGGAGGTGAACAGTACAGATCCTTGGTTTCTGAGACCTGTGCTGTTTAACATATTCATTAATGATCAGGAAAAGGGGGTGAACAGTGAAGCTGTATTATTTTCCAACTTTGCAAGATAGATAAATCCAAAGCTGATTGCAAGAGGGCTCTTACAAAAGAGTTGCAGAGGGCTCTTACAAAACTGGCCGATTGGGCAACAATACGGTAGATGAAATTCAATGTTCAAAGTAATACATGTTGGAAAAAATAATCCCCAATATACATAAAGAGGATCCCCCACCCTGTCCAAACACCAGCATCAATGGTCACTTGCACATTCAACTCCTTGGCCTGGGCTCGCGTTAACCCT